GCAGCAGCACTTGTAGAAAATCACCAGAAACGTCGAATTCAATAGAGTGCTGTGCCTACTTCAACGAAAAATCGGCAAATGCTACTAAATATATTTGTTAACAACACTTTACGGGTGCGTCGGATACAGAATAGAAGAATCTGTAAATAAATGGGATTAATTTTTTTTTTAACTTTGATCTCGGCTAAACAAAATATGAGTAGGTTAAAGAGAGATTAAGAGTTTTGTTATTTGTTATATATGTTTTCATTTACTAAAATTAATAATAACAAATAAAAATTAATACCTTTGATACAACATACTTTGTTTCTTTTTATTTCTAACATCTATTTTCAACTATTTACTTGGGGTCACTAGAGACCTCATGCGACTAATTGTGTGATTTTCTTCATGCGCCTAATTAAAGTTTAAGACACTCCCACGATAAAGTTAATTATTTCGGAATCTAACTTGGTTCACTCGTAGACGTACCGTACCATACCTTAAATAATCGTTTTCTGTTCCGTCTTTAAATATTACATGAGTATCAAGAATCTCGAACAATATATTCATCAAAAGTCACATACACAGGACGCAGCCGTCACTTAGTAAGAATAATGTCTCAAAACTTGAATATGTTCAACAAAGCGAAAGTTTGTATGTTGATTTCAAATAAAAAAGGTTTTAAGGATGTTTTTTATTACGCTCATTTTGATAGTCTTCGATGTGCAGCCATTTTTTATAGAATAAGATCAACAAGCAAATGCATAGTAGACCTGATAACTATCATTAATTAAAAATAAAAATGTATAGGTGTACTCACCCCTTAAGGACTAAGATAGAACAACTCAGTACTTCTCGCGACCTACCACATATAAAAGGTGTGGTTCAAGATTTAAGAACGTCTTACATTTCTATAGATCTTATGATTTAACCAACTTGACTTAAAATCTCAGGAAGTTTCATTCTAATGACATATCGGACTTGTTGACTTGTAAAGAGAAAGTGGACTTGTTCGCATCTCTCTTTGCCTACAATTCACGGCTGGACTGTGGCAATGACGTTTAATCTAAATCACCTCACTGCGGGACCTGTATGTCAGAGATTAGTGTCACAAATAAAGAGGTTCCTAAAATCTTGCGGCGTCTAGATGTGAAAAAAGCTAGTGGACGAAATAGTATACCAGCTATAGTTATAAAGGCTTGTGCACCTGAATTGTCTCCTGGGCTGACACGCTTTATCCGCCTCTCATTTGGGACTGGAATAGTGCCAAAATCCTGGAAACTGGTCAAGTGGTGTGTAGCTTGTCTCAAAAAAGGCAGCCGTGCCGATCCTGCCAGTTATCGGTCAATCTCAATTACCTCCATACTCTGAAAATTATGGAATGTATATTGAGCACTCGCTTAATGGCATACCTAGAACTGAATAACCTCCTTAGTGACCGACAATACGGATTTCGCCGAAATCGGTCAGCTGGGGATCTTCTAGCTTATGCCACACAAGTATAGGCGAGACACTCGACAACAGTGGTGAAGCACTTCCTGTTTTCCTTGAGGCCTTCGGCAGAGTTGGCACGTTAGCCTTTTGGGTAAGCTTCCAGTGTACGGCTTATCCCCTGGTCTTATTAAGTGAGTAAAAGACTTCCTGAGTGAACGGTCTCTTCGGTTCGTCATCGATGGCTACACATCCTAATTTATTGCGACCGTTCTCTCCACAACTCTCTTCCACAGCATATCAATGATCTTTTTATGCCCAGTATCTATGGGTATGCAGACGATAGCATAGCTGTGGAGATATACCAACCAAGGTCTCGGACCAGTCGGGATCAAATCCTGTCCGAAAAAGAAGCTATAGTAAGGCGTATGAATCCCACTCCAAATGTGAGAGTGCAAAAATCCAACGCCTCCAAAACACAAGCTCTCTCTTTACTGCTAAAAGGAGACAGCTCATCTTGGCTCCTTCTTTCCGAAATGTATCACTGGAAAACACCGACCGACTTCAGTCGTTGGGGGTGGAGATATCCTCAAATCTGAATTTCGGGCGATTCATTGACTCCAAGGTTAAAGCAGCTGCAAGGTAGCTTCTTTCAGCTGATTTAGCCTTGGAGTCAACGAATCGCCCGAATTCAATTCTTCACGCCGGGTCAGCTGCCTACTTTATATAAAGCGCAAGACCGGCCGTGCATGGAGTATTGTATTGCTGTAAAATGTCACCTAGCAGCATTGAACTCAATGAAAGGGCCTTCTTGGAGGCTTATTGGTGACCCAAATTTCAGTATTTTGTACATTCAGGATTTTGCCATGGTTGTCATGATTGGCAGGCGAATTGGCAACCGCAGCTTTTTATGATTTAGAATTTTTATCAAGAAAATTTTTGTGCCCATAGCCTACTTTAGCTTCCCTCAGATTAGATTACCCCAGATATGAGGTAATGGATATTCTGACACTGTTAATACACGGTTAATTAAGTGTACATGATACTTATATATAGCGAAATGACAGTGATTTTTTTGGTAGGAGAGTGGGCAAACGAGCATACCGCTTAGCTGATTGTAAGTGATTACAACCACTCAAAAAGAACTGCAAGAGTGGGTGAATTACAGGTGCTTTACCAGCCTTTTAGAAAGAAGTAAGCTCTTTTCTTCAAGGCCACTTAATCGTATCTGCCGTAAGGACTATATCGTCGGCAAATCGAAGGTGAGTGATGTACTCGCCATTGATGTTAATACCGTATCCTTTCCAGTCCAGTACCTTGAAAACGTCTTCCAACGGAGCGGTGAAGAGTTTCGGGGGATATAACATCACCCTGTCTTACACCTCTCTGCAGTTGGATAGGTTTCGAACTCTGGTTCTGTACTCGGATAGCCATCGTAGCCCTACTGTATAAACACTTCAGCACTTCGATATACCGACAGTCAACTTGGCACCGCTGAAGGGACTGTAGCACCGGCCAAATTTCAACGGAATCAAAGGCTTTCTCATAGTCCACATATGCCAGGCAAAGTGGCAGATTGTACTCTTCGGTCTTCTGTACAATCTGCTGCAGGGTATGTATGGGTAAGCCTTTTCGAAAACCAGCTTGTTCGGGAGGCTGGAAGTCGTCGAGTCTGCGTGCGAGACGATTCGTAATGACTCTCGAAAATAGCATGTAGACGCGGCTCAGAAGAGAAATCGGTCTGTAGTTCTTCAAGAGAGCGTTGTCGCCTTTCTTAAAGAACAAGACCACCGCGCTTCTGCTCCACGCCTCCGGAGTAGTGCCACCATGGAGGACGGAATTGAAGAGCTTCTGAAGGACTTCGAGTACCGCTGTTCCACCCGCTTTCAGAAGCTCCGCTGTAATTCCATCCTCGCCCGAGATCTTGCCGTTTTTAAGGTGGTGGAGAGCCATTCTCATCTCACTCAGACTGACGTCCGGGATATCATCGGAATAGTCACAGGTAATCAACTATAAATTGTACTGAGACTAATTTAATAGCAGATAATAATAGTTAATTCGTTTCAACGAATTAATTATCCGAATAGCCTAGGATGAGCTAGTAGCGGGATACAACAAGGAAACCGTGCCACGCCAGCGCCAAGACTGGTTTAACGGCGTTTTTTTTTGTTTTTTTTTTTTGCGCCCGAAGCAAATATGGGCAACCCTCCGGAAAGCGGGGCGGGGAGGTGGGGAATGCTCATAGCATACCACGCAGCCGGCTGCGTGGTTATGTGGAGACTTTTACCCATTAAACCTACCTTTAAGGATTGGCTTACCGATCTGACAAGAGATCTCTAAGCCGTATACGAACGCGACGCGGAAACGGACGCGAGGGCGCAACTTAACGGCGGCCACTCCGTCCGTTTTATACAATCGAGACAAATAGCTACCCGAGCGCCACTTCATTTGCAATGCGCAGGTGTGCGGTGCATGTGTTGTTTACAATAATTCCGACTAGCCACAGAGGCGCTGCTGCACGTTCAATGGTACCAACATATATATATATATATATATATATATATATATATATATATATATATATATATATATATATATATATATATATATATATATATATATATATATATATATATATTCAGGAAGGTTAAGCTACAGATTGTAGTTGAAACTAATTACTTGACCGAAACAAAGTATCCACCGCTTTATTAGATATAAAAGGAAGTAGAAATCTGGCGTGGTTATTAAAGACATAAATAATAGTAAGAAAATCCATGTGGGTATCGTTAAAGGCCACAATAATAAATGCCAAAAAAATCTTATGCCTTTAGATACATGGGGGCATAAATAAGATTAGTAATACATCATTATCAGTACAACTTTTCACAAGTCCACTACTGGGCATAGGCCTCCCCCAAGGAATGCCACATGCATCCATTGACTTTCTGTATGTCTTACCAGGTAGTTAGGCACTCCGTCTTGTAAGGGGTCGTCCTCAATTCGCCTACTGGTACGAGGCCGCCGGTCGGTGGCTGGTTCTTCTAGCTATATGGCTGGCCCATTACCACTTCAGCTTATTAACTACTGCGGATACCCTAATTTCTACGTTTATTACGCACAAAAACTCCGAGCATAGTCCTCTCCATAGCTCCTGAGCTACCTTAAGAATCCTCATAGGGCTAGCAGTGAAGGACCAAGTCGCAGATCCATAAGACATCACTAGCAACACGTACTGATTGTACATAGCCGTTTTCAAGTTTTGAGGTATATGTGTAATATATAAATCAATATATATATACCTGCCAAGAAAATGTGTCATAATTTCCCTAACGCTACCCAGCTTAGTTGAATCCGTCCATTGACTTCTCGGCCGAAGTTTGATTTACCCCGTCAGACTATTTGTCACAGGTAAACATTTAAGAACTTGAAGATTTTATCAATTCTGCGCTTGGAAGTCTTTGAAATGATCTTAATAAATTTTGTTATTATAGAATTCACGTAAATGATAAAGCTTGTAAGATAAGTTATCTGCAGAGAATATTCTTGAACTACCCTAAGTTTTACTGTAAGTATAAGCAGAGACACAATTATACAGTCTTTGCTTCGTATTTGATCTGAAAATTTATGAAATAAAATCTGATTGGAGTGGCATTTAAAAATAATGTTTAAAGGTTTTATTTGTTAATGACATTTTTTAATTTAGTTTAACAAAATCAATAATATATTTTTCTTATTTAGATGCGTTATTCAAATGTTGATATGAACTATTTAAAGCTAATGCTGGCTTGTTAATGTTGTAGAATAAGTCATTATGCCGAGATCTCCCGACGGGCAAGGTGTTTAGCCTAAGGAGCGGCCAACGCTCTACTTTACTGAACTACTACTGCCTTGTTGGTCTAGTGGTTGCAGTAGTGCGACTGCTAATCATGAGGTTGTGGGTTCGAATCCCGGGTCGGGCCAAAAAATCAATTATTGAGTTTTTTGTCAAGAAATTCTCAGTAGGTGCCTGGAGTCAGGAAGTTGGCGGTGTCTCACCCCCGTATCTCGGAAAGCACGAAATGCCGTTGGTCCTGCGCTTGATCTCTCTCCGGTCGTGCTGGTTTACCGTCCCATCGGATTATGAGACTGAGGGAATAGAGAGTGCACCTGTGCTTGAGCATACACTTGGGCACTATAATCCTGTCCTGCGCCGATGGCTAGCCTCCGTTGAGGCGGGCCACCGTGGCCAAAATTCGGTCTGGAGGACATTATTATTATTTGGAGTATCTATATAGTTTTCTCATCTGGTTAGGTTCTATAAATATATAATTATAAATGAAAATGAAAAGATAAATATACATAAATATCAATAACATAAAATAAATATAAAAGTACATAAATAAATAAAAGCCCAACCAGATGGAGGCCCTCGGCAGGGGAGACCAAACGGCCGAGGGTTAGGGGGAAAGGGAAAAAAACCGGCGGACGATGCGGGCGGTATCGAGGAGCACCGCCTTCTGCATTTGAACCTGGAACGGTCCGCCACGTAGTCCCAGCCGCCTCAGATGACCCGAGAGGCTGACTGGGATTAGCCCGTTTGTAGAGACGACTACAGGAATAATTTCGGTCGGCAGACCACCCCACATGTCGGTCACCTCGTGAGCCAGGTCCAGATATTTTGTTTGCTTGCCTGTTTCGGCTTTCACGAGGTTCTCGTCATACGGAATGGTAATGTCGACCAAAAATATCCTTGACTGTGCCCGGTCCATCAGCACAATATCAGGCTTATTCGCAAGAATAGTCCTGTCTGTGATGATGGCCCGGTCCCAATAGAGCCTGGCGCGATCATTTTCGAGCACGGCTTCCGGCAAGTACTTGTAATACGGCAATTTCCGATCCACGAGACCGTATTTCAGAGCGATCTCCTGGTGTAGAATTCTGGCTACTAGGTTGTACCTGTGCAAGTACTCAGAATTAGAAAGCGCCGAACAACCGGAGATAACATGCCTAAGTGACTCATCAGGATGGCGACAAGCTCGACAGATGTCGACGGTGCCATCCTTTAGGATGTATCTCCGATAGTTGTTGGTCTTAATAACCTGATCCTGTATTGCACAGACAAAACCCTCGGTTTCCCCGAAGAGATCATCAAAGCGTAGCCAGTGGAGGGAGGCTACTGTGTCTACGAAAGGCTCATGTAGATCCTTGTAGAACCTCCCGTGGAGGTCCTTCTCCTTCCATACGGTCTTCCGGTCGGAAATGATCTGCACTGCCGGGTCTTGCCATTGCTCGTTGGCTAAGGATAGAGGGGTAAGTCCTTTATCACAAGAAATGACGTCCTTATAGAATGGATCATCCGATCTCGCCAGGAAGTAATCACGGAGGCTGCACACTTCGCGATTATGCATGGTGAGCGCGCTCAAGAAGCCACGACCACCATGCTTCCGTGGCAAGTACAGCCTCATTACCGACGATCTCGGATGATGCATCCTATGGGACGTCATGGTAGTGCGGACTTTTCTATCCAGGGCGTTAAGTTCAGTCTGAGTCCACCTGAGTATGCCAAAGGTATACATGAGGACAGGCATGACCCAGCCGTTAAATGCGTGTGCCTTATTCACACCGGACAAAAGGCTGTTAAGCACTTTGGTCAAGCGTGCATAAAACACGTCGCAAACTGACTGTTTCATACCAGTCTCATCGATACCGATGTTTTGTGATATACCCAGGTATCGGTATGTTTGAGCCTCGGAAAGGGTCCTTAAGTTGACGGGCATAGATAAGTCTACGCCTTCAGAGTTAGCAACCCTTCCCCTTTCAACATGGAGGACCGCACCTTATCCGTCCCAAGCTCCATTCCAATGGAATTGCTAAATTCACAAGTGATGCTTAGCAATTCCATAAGATGGGAGCGACTGGAGGCGAATAACTTGAGGTCATCCATATAGAAAAGGTGGGTCACTTTTGTCCCTCCTTTCCGTAGCTGAAATCCCCTCCCGGAGCCCTCCAGTAAGGTACTGAGAGGGTTCATAGAGAGGCAGAACCAGATTGGACTCAGACAATCGCCCTGGAAGATACCCCTTTTTATCCTTATGTGGTTCTCCGCAGCCATCATCCGCTCGCCCAGATGACAAAGGATCGTACTCCACTGCCCCATACACTGCTCGAGGATGTCTCTAACTGTACAGTCTATCTTGTACAGCTCGAGGACTCTCTTTAGCCATGTATGAGGCACCGAGTCTAATGCCTTTCTGTAGTCTATCCAGGCGGCGGAGAAGTTCCGACGGTTGCGTTTCACCACTTTGCCAATGACCGCGTCAATGAGGAGTGGTTCCTTGGTTCCACGACCACCGCCCCGACATCCATTTTGAGCGCGAGACATCACCTGATTCGAGTCCAGGTGACAAGTGATTCTCGCGCTCAAAATGGATGTTAGTGTCTTGTATATGGTCGGTAGACACGTGATGGGGCGGTATTTGCTCGGGTCTGTGGTACCCTGGTCTTTAGGAACCAAATGAGTGATCCCAGTAGTGAAGAGGCTTGGGAGCGACTTCTGGTTGAGAGCCTCTTGAAACTGTCGGGCGAGCACAGAGTGACACACCATGATCCCCTTCAGCCAGTAGTGATGCAGCCCGTCAAGCCCCGGACTTTTCCAGTTCGGGGCCCTACGGACCGCCTCAGCTACGTCATCCGGCGTTATGATTACGGGGTCCATGGGCGTAATACCCGCACACTGACTCGCCACAACTTCCGTCCAAGGGCCCTCGCTGTGGTTTACGGGCTCTGACCACAGGCCGCGCCAGAATGCTACAGTGTCGGTCTGATTCGGTGCTGGACCCGTTCCACTTACCATTGATCGCTCCAATGATTCATAGAGCCTCTTCTGATCACTCTGGAAGAGACGATTCTGGTTGAACCGTGTCGACCTCTCGGTATATCGCCGAATCCGCTTTCCCCAAGCAGCGATTCTCTGCTTCAGATCATTTATGCGCTCCGTCAGTTTTTGCGTTATATCCGGCTGGGACAAACTGACATTTGTCCCAGCAAACGCCATCCTGACGGTGCGCACAATTCTTGGCCTGTTGTTGCCTGATCTGAAGCATATCAGTCTGCCGATGAGAGCTCTAGCCTTTGCGATACGTTCCTCAATTCTTCTTCTCCATGCTGGGATAGCGCTACTATGGCCAGTAGCGCGTCCAGCCGTGGAAACCTTGGCGCCTATGATACGGCAGGTTGCCAGCGCGGCGCCAAAAAGAATTGACTCCGTCTCGCAAAGGTCCCGGCTGACTTCCAAATAGGTCACCAGCATTGGTTTCAAAGCCCTCACGACAGCCCGATTCCGCTTGCTTAGGGCTATGCGGGGAAGTCGCGTTCGATTTTCGAGAGGCGTACTGCGCGTTTCCACAATCGCCTCTTCCAATGTACTCCTCTTATGCTCTAATTCCAGTTCCTGGGCGACTGTTCCATTATCGTTTGAATCAACCACAACTGGGGTATTCACGGCGGCATCCACGTTTGCGGGTTGCTCTACCATTTGTGGCGCCGCATCCTCAACCGTAGCATTCTCATCCGACGAGGGAACAGCCTCACATCGTAGCCGTTCGAGTTCGGCGACATCAAATATATTTGAGCGCAAGATATACCGAACTCGGTCTGCCAGGTTTTGCTCTGTGACGGTTAAAGATGGCTCCAGCTCAGCAAAAAGACGATGCATCCTAGCCCGATACGCCAAACATCCAGTTTCTTCCCCCTTTTGCCCTAAAGTACGCCCGCAATGCGTTTGCATTCATTGCTTGTGACCAACGCATGCGACGTGCTCCACCAGCGGCGGGTGCCGCTAGCTGAGTCCGAGAAGACCCAGTCGACACCAAGCCTTCTGGTGGGGATGATGGATGCGGAGGGCTGCTAGGTGACCGTGCAGCTCCTCGCGCTCGGCTGGCAGCCCGCATGCTGCCGCGTCCAGCGCCAGCTTCAGACGCGCCCCGGCGACCCCCAGGCAGCGGCCCTTTGCACACTATCTTCTTATCCATCATCCATTATTTGGGCGTCAATTAACGGGAGACGCCCAGGCCCGGCACCGTTTCGTGTGTAGCCATAAGCACAAACGGGCCTCTGCACCCTAAATTCTGCCGAGGCACGGCGCTCACACCTCTCGCAAGGCGCTGACTGACTGCGTTGACGTAGCAGTTTTGTCACTTAACTGTTACGTCAGCGGGCGATGGGGTCGTCAAGTCCCTACGCCTTATTATATTATTATGGGAACTACTGGTACGGAACTTACTGTTTATATTATACTAGAGTAGTTTGGAAATTAGCTTTGTAATTTAGGTTTCAGTTCGCTTAATGTTTGGGGCTTCACGCAGCGCCAACACATGTTTGAATATGATAATGCTAAGTAAGTGTCTTAATTGATATTATAGTATAAAAATAGAATAATGTAAAATACTATTTTCTTTACGGATATTGTGCGATGTCTTTGTCGTTAAAAGATCTGAATCTCTAATTCTATCGCTGTAAAGTATTTTCTTAATTGTTTTTAAGGACTTTCTACTAAGAAAGTCAAAATTTCCTTTCTAAGAAAATAAAAAAAATCAATATTTGTATAATAAAAAAATATAAAAAAAGGAAATAGTCTACAAAAGACGTATTTAATCAATTCCAATTGAAAACCTATAAAAATAATCACATTTTTTATCCTCAAAATGACTGAAGACGGCCGCCTGCAACTCTTCATCGCTTGAAAATTTTGTTCCTCTTAAGTCCCGCTTTAAATTTGGAAATAAATAATAATCGGACGGGGCCATGTCTGGACTGTAAGGTGGATGTTGAACTTCTGTGAACCCGCATTGACGAACTGCATCCTTCGAAACACCAGCGGTATGAACAGGGGCGTTGCCATGGAGCAACAGGACACCTTTAGACAGCTTGCCTCTTCGTTTTTCCTTTATCTTGTCTCGTAATTTATATATTAAAGAAGCATAATATTCGCCATTCACGACTGTATTACGTTCTTTAAAATCCAACATCAAAATGCCTTGAAAATCCCAAAATATTGTGCACATCAGTTTTTTAGTCGATTGTTGCACCTTTGCCTTTCTAGGGGACTTTCCACCCTTATAACGCCATTCCATTGACTCGCGCTTGCTTTGTGGATCATAATACAAGATCATAGTTTCATCACCAGTCACTAGCCGCTCGATCACAGTCTTTGGATTTTCGCCACAAAGATCCAAAAACTCTGAAGCGCAGCGCACTCTTTTCTGTCTCTGTACCGCTGAAAGAAGTTTCGGTACCCATCTTGCACTCACTTTTTTCATGTGAAGATGTTCATGGATCGAGCGATGAATGATACTGTTAGAGAGCCCAAGCCTTGCTGCAATTTCTCTAATCTTCAAACGGCGGTCACTCAGAACCTCCTCTTCGATAAGAGCAATCGTTTCGGGAGTGAGCACTTCCACAGGTCGACCGTCGTGGCCAAAGTCTTCGACGGTTTCTCTCCCGAGGCGAAACTCTTTCACCCAATTTTTCACTGTGCTATAGGAGGGGACAGACTCCTTATACACGCCATCTAATCGTTCTTTTATTTGGGCAGGGGATAAACCTTCTTTAAACAGAAACTTTATGACACTTCGATACTCAGTTTTCGACATTTTGAAAAAATACGCGACTCTCGTTATTCAAATGCCTGTTAAACTAAGACTAAACATTTCATGTCGATGCACGTTTCTTATATTAAGTGCACGATAAACGTACTATTTAATGCAACACAACATGTAGCGACATGTCGCGTTGAACTATATCAGGCCAGTTCATTATGGGACCGCCTGGTATCGTTATCAAAATATGTAATATAATCTAAACTGCATTCTAACAGAGTAACACCGTGTAAGTAATGCTGGGTTTCGTTAGGTGAGTGAAGAGAAACGGAGTCCTTTTTTAAAGGAAACAAAGCACACCACAGTCCTCAGGGATGACAGCGCGTCTGCATTTTGATACTTATTCGAGGATAGATGTAGGCATCAATGGACCATAGCATTCAATTAATTACAGGTAGACTGTGTGCTCTTTTATCATCCATACTCTTTAAAAAATCGGTTGCTCTATTTCAAATAAAAGCTGTATCTTATTGATGTAAAAATAAAGTTAAAGCCTTTATACGTCTCACTGATGGGTACAGGACCCCATTTTATTTTACAGAGTGATTAGTGAGCAAGGAAGTGTTTGCCATGCTGCCCTGATGCGCTTTGGAAAACTTCACATGTCTTCGAACTATTTTTTTTATTTCTCAAACACGTAATTTTCACGATGTTTCCTGCATTGCCGTGGGAAAAGAAAATCACTTAAAAATCACTTAAAAATCACTTAAACAACAACAAACAAACAAACAAATCACTTAAACAATTTCATAGCTGCCGGCAGGAATCGAACGGCTCTATTTCTTAAAAGATGCTATTTAATTCTGATTATCAACTGTACAATGCACGAAATAAAATCGATCAAACCAATCTCTTGGTTCCTGTTGTCAGGAATTTGAAGTTTGGATTTTAAAATTAGTTTAGCTTAGATAACTACGCAAGATTTACTTTTGTGTCTAAGTACCAAAGGCAATAGCAGTTTTAAATAAATTTATTTTTAATGCCATGCATCATGCCTTTATACCAGAAAGAAGTACTCCGGTCCTCGTCACTCAACATAAGCAATTCTGCAGCATTATGGCATAATAGGCTGTAGCGAGACTTGTAAACAAAAAATTGTAGTAATGGCGTAGGTGAATACATGATCCATAACATCCATAGGTATCGTAAGAGGCTTAAACAATGATCGTTAGACGTCCATTAGAACGATCTCGTTACAACTAGGCGCAAAATACCTAGACCGGTGATGGAGTCAGCTTCAAAGGTGCAACACATCCGGTACTGCAACACCACCTACAGCAAAAGAGGCTCCGATCCAGCCTGACAAAAAAGAAACAAACGTACAATATTAACTCGTCGTCAGTCAATTTCAATACAAATTATATATAATAATAAATTTAAATAAAATAACAAATTATATATAATAATAATTCAATACAAATTACATAGTAGAAAAGAGTAGTACTAATAATAACTATTAGTACTACTCTTTTCTACTATGTAAGTTTTCATTCATAACTCATTACAACCTATCAAAAGTACACGACAGGTTTATCTATATATATATATATATATATATATATATATATATATATATATATATATATATATATATGTATATATATATATATACCATAGTATGTACCATAAGGTTAGCATCGACCGTTTTTATTAATTTAGATTGATATTAGGATGATGCTGTTATCTCCTATCTCATATTGCCTCTTCCGACACCCACGGGATACTAAGTGTAAGACAATCCCCTTCTAAATAATGATATTATAATTTACTGTTGTCACCGAAAACCCTCAAAAATTAGTCTTAAAAGCACCAGATAAGGGAAATAATAAAATGTAAATCGCGAAAATAAAAAAGCAATAAATGTCACTACTATCAACATAAAAAAAAAACAAAGCAATTTGTCCAACGCCAATTAATTAGAAAGAATCATAGTAGTTTAGAGGATAAGTGCCCGCCTTTAAATTTTATGGTACGTGGCAAACTGGGCTTGACCCTGACTGGAGTCGTTAATTGCAATTTTAAGTGCTGATTTGCCACGTTTGTAAAGAGAGGTAAAACATAGAGAGAAAATTTGTATGAAAATTATTAAATATTTTCAAAGCGATGTAGTACAGGGAGTAATATAAGAAATAAACACCAAATTCTTAATAATGCTACACTCGAATGACATAATTTGATCCTCTTCAACTAATTTATCGCAGCATTTCCAATAGACATATTATATTTCATTGGTTTATAGGTTAAGTTTCATAGGTATATTATTTCAGACATACCGAATGATTCCGTTTTTTTGTAAAATGGGTTATACTTATCCGAAGTGGTCCCATATAAATTTGGAAAAATATTCAACTTCTTAGGGTGGAAAAGAGGGGTAGGTTTTTATTTTAAATATTTAGACGGCATTCTAGTATACCTTGGACTTGTTATATTCCTAAGGACACTCAAATAATTAAGAGGGTTAAATATTTAAGACTATAGTAAAAAGTATAATTCCATTTCAAATAACTTAAAGTTACCTGACTTTAAAAACTAGGTAGTAACTAGTTTTACTCTTTAAATTTATTTGAATTCGGCTTTAAGTTTACTGAAAACGAGGCATTCCATTCCAGTTGTCAAGGTTGACAACGTATCTGAATTTTGGTTTGTAATCGAGGATGTAGATGTCTACGGACTACAGCATCTACTTACCACCAGATGGACTATATGTTTGTTCGTGGCCCTTATATTCTATAAACATTTTTTTTTTTCAGAAAATTTCCTTAACCATCGAGCACGTCAATCAACACTTAAAATAGCAAATAAGCCTAATATTAATATTGTACTTTTAAGTTATAAATTATTAAGTTTCTTTTTGTTTTTTTTTTTTCAGAATATTTATAGTTCGGTTCCAAAAAATATATTATACAATTTATTATTTTATCAAGAGCTTGATAAAATAATTTTTTAACAAGTTAAATATAATATTTACACACCATATACGTCCCATAACATGGCATACGCCTCCTTTCATATCTGAGAGGGTTTTAGAGCAAGGAAGTGTCCACCGCGCTACGCCAATACGTGTTGGCGAAATTCACACGTCTTCGTATTATTATTTTTTTCTTATTTCTCATGCATACAGGTTTCTTCACGATTTTTTCTTTAGCCGCCGAGCACGCGGTGGTAAATCAGCACTTAAAAATGCAATAAACAATGTAATTGGTGCCGGCGGGGATCGAACCCGCGTTGTTTGCGTACTGTGAAATTTACAGCGAACGCTTTGCCCAAGAGGAAACACGGCTCCAATTAGCGCACGGTAGTAATAATTGAATGTTGTTTGTGATTTCAATAAATTGACTCTATTCTTTTTGTAGTTGTTGCATTAAAATTATAATAAATGAAAATATAAAGTCAAATTAACCGTGTGGCGGCTGTGTAAGATCCATCATACAATTTCGTCCCTTGGGACAAGACAAGAGACGACAATGGAAAAGGCAAAAATGTTAAATAATTTTGTAAAATAAACAGAAATATCCGATACACTCTTTTTATCAATTCATAAAATGTAAATGCAGGATAGGGACCTATTTCGTTGTTGTCATACGACTTGCAATCGTCACCGCACATATCGGAACTGTTAACCCATAAGATCGGCTTCAGTCAAAAATAGGCACTATGTCTTTGTTTATATCACAAAATGCTTTTGGCAGGTCCTCTACGGTTGTTTGTTGATATATTTGGAGGTCATCAGCATACATGTGGTGGAGAGAAGATATTTGGGAGGTAATGGAATTATGAAAAGTACAAATAACAAGCCACCTTGTGAAACGTCAGAGGTATCAACCCATGAAGACTTTCTGTATTATACCTGATCACGTTGGCGTGGTCCATGTAAGTAACTGTGAAACCAGGAAATTGCTGTTGGAGATATATTAATAGAATGCAGTACATCAATTAGGATATCATGATTTGCAGCATTGAAGACATTGCTGAAATCCAGCAACATCATCACTGTACCTTGACGGTTATCCATTCCAAAGCGAATGTTGTCAGTTATTTTAATAATGCTGTAGTCGTAAAGCATTCTGCAAGCATATTATATACTTTATACAAACAAGAAGCAGTGTCTTTCTAATGACAACTAGGAAATAAAATGTAACCCGACTGCCTATCGTAGCAACAATGGAAAAAATATCCCTCTCTTGTAAGGCAATGATTTCGGGAGGCCTTTATTCAATAGTGGACCTTAATGATTGGAAATAGAATGTGTAGTGACGGCGTATGAAAATCCACTACCGCGTATCATGACGCTAAATGCTATATAGGGAAATTAAATAGGAGAAAAACTCAAAGTAATAAAAGAAATGCGTTTGTCGACCCGCCTGCTATTCTATGAACTATGGCAAATAAAATTTCATAGCATATAGCTATTATATCTTTTGGGAGGTCTATACTTAGCAGCAGACTTTTGATAGGCTGTAATGAATCAATAAATTAATAAATTCTAATCGATAAGCCACGCGCTTGCGCATGAT